TGGACCCACCATGATTATAGGGTTGGGGTATTCACTCATAATTTTCATAAAAAAAGGAAACCAACAACTACCAAAAAAAAAGAAAAAGGAAAAAAGCAAAAAATGAATTAGGAAAAGTGAAAACCTTCATATTCGTGCAGGAAAGTATGCATGAAATAGAAGAAAATAGTCTGTGTTTTAAAGTTTTTCTATGCTGGAAAAAAAAAATAAAAAATAAAAAAAATAATAACCCAACCCTATTTTTTTACAAAAAAATACATCAGTGCATAAAAAAAGAAAGGAAAAACATTAAAGAATTTATATATACTTTCCTCCATCCCAAACAGAGGGGTACGTGGTGTAGTGGTATCATACCTGCTTTGGGTGCAGGTGGTCGGCGGTTCAAACCCGTCCGTACCCCGTTGGTTTTTTTTATTTCTTTTTTTAAATAAAAAAAAAATTAAAAATAAAAATAAAACGTTCTTTCTTTTACTTATTTATAAGTTATTGAGTATGAATAATAATCCATTCAAAATTTTGATTATTTTTTTTTTTTCTGAATTGAATTCAAAACTTCAGCAAATTTTTTTTTTTATTGATTTCAACTTTAAAAAAAAAAAAATTCTTCTTTTTCCTTTTCTTAACTTTATTACTTGTAAGTAAAAATAATAAAATAAAAATATTATTAATTAACAATGCTAAAATTTCGTTCACCTCATCACCCTTGGACTTCTTCCCTTATCATTCACTCTCTCTTCCGTTCAAAAACACAACCCTTCTTCTATCCTACTCTCCTTCGTACCACCACCACTACTACTTCGTCTTCTTTTTCTTCTCTCCTTACCTCTACTCCTACTCCTACTTCTACTTCTACTTCCACTTCACCTTCCACCTCCACCTTCACCTCTACTTCACCGTTGTCTACTTCTTCCTTCACATGGCCTATGTATTTCCAAGCTCGTCTTCAACGTCATCGACGATTACGTTTCTTTAATGTGGTAGGGTTACCTTTAGGTCTGATTGGAGGGATTGTTGGCTTTGCACATCAAGTGGAAGTAGATCCCACTGCCATGATCTTAGGCATGGAAGCCCCATTGGTGTATTCCATGGTTGCATTAGGAATAGGTAAGTAAAGTTGCCTTCCCCCTCCCTCCCTCCCTCCCTCCATTTTTTTTAAACAAAATAAAAATAAAATAAAATAAATATAGATATATAGATATATATCTAATTCTTATCAAAGAATTTTTAATCCTTCTATCTCCCTCATTTTGGATGGAACAACATTAATGAAAGTGTTTATTTTAACTCAGAAATAAAGAGCTAAGAAGGGAAAAAAAAAAAAAAAAAAAAAAAAAAAGAGATTTAGATCAAATGAACGTGTACATGAAAAAGAGAAAAAACTACAGGAGAACAACCCTTGTTGCTCGAAGTGTTAATAAATAAATAAATAAATAAAAAAGGGAATGAACAAGAAGTAGAAGTAGTAGAAGTGAAAAAAAGTAGAAAACTATAAAAATAAAACCATAAGAAAAGGAGAACGACAAAGGCGAAGAGAAAGCAAACAGAAACCAAAACGAACCAAAAAAAAAAAAACCCAAACCAACCAACCAACCACCAATCCAGTTTTGACGTGTTTTCCTTTTTTTAATATTCACTTCTTTTTTTTTTTTAGATGATTTCTATTGACGAACATAAAAAGATCAATTTTCTTAGCAAATAGAAAACTCTTGAAACTTTTTAAACTCTTTAAACTCTTTGTTCTTTTTAATCAAATCAAATCAAATCAAATCAAATCAAATCAAATGAAATGAAATGTCTTTTTCTGTTCGGCAGTGAATCACATGATCTCCAGTGATCTTCTTCTTCTTCTTCTTCTTTTTTAAATGAAAAGAAGATGCTTTCTTTCTTTCTTTCTTTCTTTCTTTCTTTCTTTCTTTCTTCTCCACTTCTTCTTCTTCACACACACTCACCTTATTATTTCACCTTTCATTCTTTTGTTGTTGATAAAAATGAGAAAAATAAAGACAACGATGGAATGAATGTGGAATGGAATGGAACAAAATCTTTTCTCTTTTTATTGAAGTAAGAGAGAAAATAAAACAATGGAAATTAGTTTAAGTGTAAAAAAAACTTCAAGTCAACGGAATTTCAATGGGTTTTTCATTACCTGCACCTAACTTGATGGTGGCTTTTTCTTTTAATAACCGTTGTTTTCTTAACCAAGTACGGTACCCTGATAAACTGTTGATTTTTTCTCCATAATAATCATACACTTGATTACCAATCAAAGATAAGGAAGGATCAGCTCGATATTTACGAATTCGTTGGTAAAAGAGTTTGTCAAGCTATACATTAAAAAAATCAAAATCAAACTACTAAAATAAAAGAAAAGAACCCTTTTTTAGTATTTTTAAATTTCTTTTAAAATGAATGTAAGTAAGTCTTTCATTAAATAGGTTCTATTTTAGTTCACTCAACCTCCCCCTCCTTTTTTTATTTTATTGTATATCTTATCTTAACTCTTTAATTTTCTAGGTGTGGTATCTGCCATCTTAACTCCAATTTCTTTCGAAAGTTTATGGAGAGTGACCCATTTAACAAAAGCTCAACAAATAGATCAAGTAATATATTTATTTAATTCCATTTTTTTT